TAAGAATGATTCTGGATGCTTATGTAGGTAGGAGACCACATACAAGCCACAATCTGCGACCAAGCTTTCTCTTTATACCATTCATACAACTTTTGGTCTTAACATACTGGAATTTTATACAGTTTGAGCATTTGAAGCTCTAAAAGCACCGACAGCAACAGCACAGGCAGCAGCCTTCGCTTTTACATCATTGATGGATTCTTATCTTTCAGCACTGAAACATGTTCTCGGCTGAAGCCATGATCGGCTGGTTCATGCGCATGAGGTTCCACGGATTGATGAAGTCATCAGTGATCATGGGGCCACTACTGATGCTATATTTTGCTTTCAAGCAGTGGAGGATGTCATTGAGAGACTGCAGCCTGTTGCTGAGCTCCACCATCTGCGTCCTCAGGACAGAGTTCTCAGCCTGCACTGCAAAAAACCGCTGCGTGGTGAGGGTGAAGGATGTCAAGATCTGGCTGTTCTCCTTCCTCAGCTGGCCGATCTGCGCGGTGAGACCATCCAAATGCTTCTGCTTGCGCATCCTGGACCGCCTCGCGGATTCACGGTTCGATATCTTTCTCCTCTGCATCTTAAGGTTCATCACTGCCTGCAGATCCTCTTCGGAAGCTGACTTTTGCAGCAGGCTGGACCCAGAAGGAGTTCCAACAGGAGAAGCCATAGATGCTTTGTCTTTTTGCAGTGAAAATGAGATTCTTTTTCTTACTAGCCTATATAAATTTTAAAGGTAGTGCTCAAGCAAAGAGTATATATTTGTTGGAAATATAGCTGAATAGTGTGAATATATGGCAAGACAAATACTATCAAGAAAACTAGGAGATTCTATGTATATATATGTATACGTAGATCTCAGAACAAGCTCATGAAAACACATAAAACCAGTAAAGGAAGACGACAGAGAAGGACTGAGCGAGATGGGTCCTGCGCCTGAGAGTGATGTTGATCATAAACCCAGAGAGAAGGATCTCACTTAGGATAAGTGACATCAATTAGAAACGTCAAGAGCAACAGATGCTGCATGTGACAAACACACAGGAGGCTTCAGTATACAAAGATCAAATCTTGGAGCTGATAGAACAGGGAATTCCCCTCAGTTTTCGGCAGCAAGGTGGTATCTTTCCACCAAAGATCAAGAAAAGGTCAGATTTTGAAGCTTGTTTGCAGAATCTTTAGAGAAAATTTTGGCAGAGTTTCCCTAGTAGATAACAGCAGAAAGATCAAGAATAGGGAGGTCAGCCAAAGTAGAAAGCAAAAGCAGCAGCAAGAACAAAGAATTGAGATGTTGGGTTTTCGATTTTAGATTGAGAACCCAAGAAAACTCAAAGGCAGGGCCACTGGAGCCATGGGGATGACAAGAGGAAGAAGGCTAGAGAAGAACAAAGCAGCAGGACCTGCAGAAAGCTAAGCAAGGAAGAAGAAGAGAGGGGGAAAGGGAATTGGAGCTTGGGGAAGGGGTGGTATTTATAGAGCGAAGGAGGAGAAAGAGCTCTGGAATCTTGTGTATATACAATATATGTTCCATGATGTCAGGCATCAAAGATACTATGATTTCCATCTACCAAACTGGAAATAGTGTTCATCATCATGCCTTTGTGGCTCCTTTAGATCCATTGATGATTCATGGCCTTCATTTAATTTAGTCCACCATCATCGGAGAACTTCTAGGAGAAAATAGACTGGGATTTTGAATAGTCAAGACATCTAAGTACCACACATTCATTCAATCAAATCTCTGCATATGTAAACACAACTATTTCTTCTGTTCAATGATGTGAAATGACAAGTAAATTTGTTGGAATCTTCATATCTAAAAGCTTGATTGTAGAGTTAAAATATATTGATTGAGTCCATCTGTATTTAATGAACTAAAATTTAAAGCAACATATGGCATATTCTTCACTGTTCAATGGTCATTCATAGCTGCTAGTCACTGTTCATACTGTTGACATTGCTAATGGCATTGTGATCATTGCATGGTGGTTGGAATTGTATCCCTGCTCTGATGATTCCAGTCAATATCAAATATAAT